TGTTTGCTTACAGCATTAGATTTCTCTCCATGTTTTGTAAGAAAATTTGTGTCCCAAAATATTCCTCATTTGCAGCAAATTTAGCTGCTTCAGCAGAGAGTGAGATTTAGACAGGAAAGGCAAGGAGGCAGGAAATAACACAGTTCAGTCAAGATCAGGTGCGTTGCTAGCTAATGTTGATTTAGCAGAAGAAAGACTGAAGAAAAAAAAAGACATTACCCAGTGCCCCAGAATTCATACAGTGCAAACAACAACAGTCTGACTTTGTATTATATTTTGTTTGATATTCCATATTTTACTTTTATTGGAAGAATTTTATTTATTGGGATCAACTCCTTCCTCTGTGGCTTGAGAGGAAGAAGCAGCTACGGGGACCACTTAGGCTTTAAAAATATTCTTTTGAAAAGTCTCTATAACAGTGGCATCATTTACCTCAACTGTACATTAACCCTAATCTGGGATAGGAGCTGCAAAAGTAAATAGAACTGGGGGTAAAACAAGCTTAGAAGGGTTACCAGTGGTATAAAATTAAAATCAGGCCATGACATTTTAAAATAGAGATATTTGGAGGATCATTTTGGATGTTCCTTGCCATGAGGAACAATCCTATCCTGCAAGTGCTTGAGGAGATAAAAAACACACGCATTACTTTCTACAATTTTGGGGTCTTCTATGGGGCCAGTTCCCTCTGCTTTGTCAGCACTGGGTTTATGCGAATGCTGCAAAGTGCTCCCAAATAGACAGCATTTTGTGTTCATTTGTGGACGGTAAGAAAAAGCAGAGGAAAACAGGGAAGGAGGTCCCTCCCCTCATGATGGTTAGGGCAGGTAAAGTGCAACTGTGGAGCACTGAGATGCAGGTGCCCAAAACCCTTAAGTGTGGGATGTGCGCACAGGGACCTGCCTGTGCTGCCTGTTGTTGCAGATCTCCTGCTTCCAACCCAGAAATACATTTCCCCTGAATATCTTGTGTGTTGGGCTTTTTTTCCTTTTTTTTTTAATTAAAGACTCCCAGACTAACACATTTCCCAGTGATCTTAGTTAAAAAGCCTACAGAGGATTGTAGAAGAAAATGTTACTGCAAAAAGGAAGACTTTTCTTGGCAGGGTCCCCTCTCGCTCTCATAACAGCGCTGCGGTGTGAGGCATGCTTCTTCAATCTTAGCTGACCTATTTGTTGATATATTTCAGGTAGCCAGATGTCCTGGCACTTTAGGAATTCAGAAGAAAATGATATTCGACTGTTGGTCCTGGTTTCGGAGCAATCAGCCAGCTGGCTATCCACTGCTCGCTTCCAGTCCTCCCTCCCCCACCAAAAGCCTCCAGGTCAATTGCTGACCCATAGCACATCTCTCCCTACCTTCAGAGATGAACCTGGGGTCCAGCTACATCTGTGCTGAGGCCTCTCGTTGTGTGTCTGGCACACAATGAATGCGAGGCTCTCCAAATGTCAGAGCATGCCAGCTGATGCACATTGAGATTTAGAGCATCACAGATTTCATTGCACAAACAAACGCTCAAGAACTTGACAGGGGAGTTACCGTCTTTGTAAGGGAAGGAAAACTTGCCAAGGGTGATTTAGCTACAGGTTAGGAGACCATTGAGGAGAGGACTAATGAGGAAGGCTGACCAGGCACCGGGTGTAGGGGGAAACAGAAACACAAGCAAGCAGCCTGCAACCAGGTAGATCTCCTTTCTCACTCTCCAAAGGCTCCAGCTTTCTGGCATTCCTCTTCCCAGAGGAAGAAGTGCCCCAGTCCTGCTTTCAGCTGCCAAAACGTTCTACCAGTGTGAGTTCACCCAGCTAATGAGGCACTGTGCCTTGCAATCAGACAGCTCGTCTGCACCTAAGCATGATGGCAAAATCAGTCAAAAAATCTTTCTTGAAAATCATTTCCTTCATCAGGGAAAACATTTGGTTAGGTTAAATGATTCATATCCCAAAAAGAACCACCAGCCCAACACATTCCAGCAAAATTCATGCTGTTCTCTGCTCACTGCTATACCCTCCACCCTTTCCCCGTCACTGTCCTTCAGACCACCTACCCACACAATCCTCTGCCTCTTGCGCATGTTTTGGCTATTGGTATCTGCAGTCCCACGGCAGCAGCATTGCTCCAGAGCCTTGCCCTTGCCAGGGCAGCGTCTCTCAGTGCCAGGAGTGGTGGGATGAGCAAAGTGGGGAGCACCTTCTTGGAGACTGATGGTCTCCCAGCACCCAAGTCTTGTATGCAGAACACAGGGTTTGGCTAAACTGTGTGTTTCCCTTTTTAACATAAAGCTCCATCCTGCCCCAAGCTACCTCAGGAGACCAGAGAGAAGCAGCAATGAGGATGTGAGGATGCTTGGTGAAACAGTCTGGGCTTCAAGTGGGGCTTAGCCCCTCTTGTCTCTCCACTACTTTCCCTGCCAGAGGGTCAAATTAAAGACAATATGGTCTGGCAAGAGCAAAGCCCTGTTTTCTGCAAAGGAAAGGAACAGCTGCTGAATACCTGGAACAGCAAATGTCAACAAGGGCTCCATTAGCGTTCATTCAGCTACAGGGCTGGGTTTCCCTTCCCCCCAGTTGTATAACTCTAATTTCACTGACTACAGTGATTCCACCAGTCTAATTAGGCCCCTAGATAATAGTCAAAGTACTTATTATGTTATCTTTTCACTGATTTTATATTATACACATTTGTCTGTTAAATATAATGATTCGATTTCCCAGATTTACAAACTTCGGCTGGCAACCCGCTTAAAAATCACAAGCTACCTGCCATTGGTCTGGTATGTTCTCTATTTACTGCAAGCCCAAATGTTTGCTTTATGCTGTCAACGAAGAGAAACTGTTTAGAAAGAGAAAAAAAATAATAAAAATAATTGAACATCAGCCACTGAACCAGCGGGAACGCAAAATATTTCCATGAAAGGGAATCCAACAGGACCAGCGATCTGTAGGGTAACTATTCTCAGTGTGAGGAGGAAAAGTGAGCCAAGTGCAGAAGCCAGGCTTGTTTTCTCTCTCCCCATAGTGTGTCCTATCCCAGTACTGTCTGAAAGCAGGGTACACGAAGTTCCTAGGCATGGCCATACTATTCCACCCCCTACCGGGAAGCTATTTATTTGAACAGCAGCAGAATCTTTTCATTGTGTTCTTGGTCTAAACAGTTGGCTGTGCATGCAAGAGATGTACAGCTGCTCTTTTACTGGGAACTGTGGGAGCAAGAGAGGAGGTGTCAGGAAGGAGCAATGTGTCTCCGGTGCTCTGCCCTCCTCCCCTCGCTTCCAACAACCAAGATATAAACAAAGTTACTAAAACAAAGGAACAACATCGAGTTCCTAGGTTGAAAATAGCCCTACACTCATTCAGGAAAAATTCCCTTTCCAGTTAGCAGCCATCCTTAGGTCATTGATGGATGGCACTGCTGTTGGTGTGGGGGTTCTCCTTCCCCAAGGTGGCTGAGTATCTCCAACCTAGAACCCACAGCTTTCCCAGATTTGGTGCCTAAACCCTTTCCAAAACAGTTCCTGCTGTCGCTGTTTTCTGAAATGCTGCTGGAGGATTATCCAGGAATATACTTGTGTAATAGGGATTCTGACTTGTGGCAATTTGAGCATCAGTTACTGCTAGGAAATAAAACAACAAACCAAAAAGTAGCAGTAGTCATCTCCATGGGAGAAACAGCACCTTCTCTCTCCTTGGCCTTAGTGCTGCTTTGCCTGCCAGCAGACCTGCAGGTATTACTAAACCTTTCTGATTAAAGCAAGAATACCACTCTCCCATTGCCCAGAATTTAGATTTAGGTTGTGAATTTTATGCTGGTTAGAAAAAGACACATTGGCTCACTGATATTTCAAAGACGTTATTCTTCCCTGTGTGCTTAAAACAGGTTAGGATGATAAGACCTCATTTCCACATATCTCTCTGTCACTGGCTTAATAGTGGGTGAAATATTACAAATGTTTGTCATTTATTCAGAGAACCACAGTGGCACACCTGTTTCCAAACCTGCATGCTACCCCTCTTATTAGGTGCTGTTCCTAATGCAGGTGGGCTTAGCTCCCAGAAATAAATAGGGCTTGGAGAGCCAAGGTGCAAGTGATGGCTGCTTCCCATGGCATCCCCTGGTGTCAGCGGGCTCCCAAGCCCATCCCTGTCCCTTCTGGGCACCATCCCCACTGCTAGAAAGCAAGCTCAGTGCGAGGATTTAGCCAAGGATTTCACCCCTGGTCATAGGGGAGGAGAAAGAGATGTTTGCATATGTGCTGCACAATCTCAGGCTGCCGTAAGAGATGTTACTTAAAAGCCTGAAAGATATTATTTATTTTAAATTGAAAGCAAACAAAGCAAACATTACTTAACTGTGTCTATTTTCCTGGTATCCTGTTAGACTTGCCAAGGGACCCTGTAACTACGGCAGGCATTTTATCTTTCCCTCTTCTAAATAGCAAGTTAAAAATTAACTGCTTCGTCTTCACATTGCCCACTCCTTAAGTAGTTTAAACTTACTTTTAACTGTTACATGCCAACAAAACAGGTTGCTTAATTGATTTGACCTTTCACAGTATTTTTTAATTTTCAATCTTAGTTTCATTGTTCCATCTGGCACTTTAAAACGGCATCTGGTTAACTGTACTTAACCAGCTGATCACTGTACAGTTATTTTTAAATGTAATGTATGCTTAAACAGATGTTATTTTTATAGATGTAGATCTAAACTGCACTTGTATACGTGCTATGTCTGCATAAGCTCTTTCTGCAATTCAAATGTTGACACCAAAAATTACAAGCCAGAATGCTTATGAACTTCACTATTATGTTACTGCACTTTTTTGCAGCTTGTTAGGTAAACATCAATTCAGTTCTTTTTTCTCTGTTCATTGCACATAAATAAAACATTAGCGTTTAGTTTATAAAGTGATGAACATTTTGCTGTGTTGGATTTAGCTTTATAAATACAACTGCTGTCAGCAAGAAAAAAGGATTTATTGAATAAATAATAAGAAAGCTAGAGGAAAATGAAAGTATATATACTACGCAAAACACGGTGTCTGTCCACAGGTCACATAAGGGTCTTCCGACATATAGACATCCCATGTGAGAATATTTAATAACAGTGCATTTTTGTAAGATATGGCTAGTCTCCTGAAGCAAGAGCAGATTGGTAAAATGCAGTACAACACTGATAGCTGTAATTGTTAGCAGTAACCGGGGGGCTCCATTTTTAACACTGTATACTGGAAAGCTCAAGTTCAAAGGTCTTCTGAAGTCTTACAGAAGGGATAAAAATGGAGAGTAAGATATGACCAGTCTAATAGAACCAGCACTGGCAATCTGTTAAATAAATACATTCATATAATAATTGTTAAATTCTACAGACTATTACCTGATTTTACACTTTCAAGCAAATTCATCTTTATTCCCTATTAGTAAGACCTCATTCTTCCAAACACCCTACTGATATTAGTGTTAATTACCAAGGTTTGGGCAGAGGCTAGCTGAGAATACATGGGGTTTTTTATTCAGTTAATGTTCATAATTTTTTGGGGAGATTACATTTTTTGAATCCATGTATTCATTAATAGGTCTGTGAAACACAAAACGTAGTATACGAGAACCCAATCTCGAAAACCCAGCTTGATTTTGAGAACAGCAAATAGTAAAAGTTTTCCAGTCAGGACACTGGTTTGTTTTTTCTGGGGGAATGATAAGTTCTACAAAATGTAATATATTTTCTTCAAAAGAACTTAAAATGCAATCTTAAAAAGAATTTGTCCAATATGCAAGGGCGTATGCTACTTTGCACAAAGGAAGTGGTCGCGGCACTGAATATTTCACAGAGAACTTTTTTCTCAAGGTTAAAAATTGCTGTTATACATAATACCTCAGTAATTGATAGACATTTTCTCTCTCCAGAGCCCATTTTCTGTGAAAAACACCACATAACATCTGTTCATAAACAGTCCTTCTGTGAGAACACTGACACAGGTCTTGAGCTTCTACTGGCTCAATTCCCCTGCCATACACAGATGGCACGAGGTATTTATACAGCTGAATTCTTTGTAATACAAGCTCAACTATATCTTCAGGTAAGACTATGGGCAAACATGTGCTTATACTATTCCGCTGACTTACCTCAAGTCATTTAAACAGTTCCCTCTGACACAAAGACAAATTGTATCATACCATTATGCAAGTGTTTTGTCTCAAAATCACCTTCAGCAATCAGCACGAAGCTCTGCAGAGATAAGGACATTTTGGGACGCACAAAACCCGCCAAGTTTCATGTTAATGAGCTAAGAGTTATATTAAGATTCAAGACTCAGGGCTGTTCTCCTTGATTTTGATGTATGTGTTTTCCTTGTATGGAAAATATTTGTTTTGATGGTATAATATCTTGGTTTTTGCATGCAAAATGTTAAATAAAGAGACAAACCCTGGCATTCAACTTTCACATACACAGCATGGAGCTCATAGGTTAACCACAGTTTTCTATATGCTATGTTGGCTATTCCCTGTAAGCAATTCTGAGTGAATAACACTTTAGAATGCTTTCAGAATTTGCTTTCCTATTTATCTCCATGAAATTGTGGAAAGCTTCAGTTGACTTCTGAAGAAATCTAGGTACCATGACACCATCTGCCAGACGACATCCTAGTCCTACGCACACATATGCCCATGCTTTGACTGTGGTCTGTATACACTTAAAGATTAAAGCACATATGTGGAGATTTGCAAGGTGAGAGCCTTGAAAACTAGAAGCTCCAAAACCAAGGACAGCCTGTTGGTGTTTTGAAGTGTGTGGGGGGAAAAGTAAACTTTGCCCAAATTTCAAACGTACTTAAACGAATCTCTTCGATTTTTGTTACCATACCTCCACTCCTAGCAAGCTACTGAAGTCCATGTTGGTGACTTAGGAGAATATCATCTACATAAAGACATGGGGGGGGGGGATCTTGACAAGACAACCTTTTAATGAGGATACATACTGATAAAACTTTGAAAAGAAAGATATATTTTAGGGCATCCTTTCAAGCAGAAGTAGTATGTATCTGCAGGGGGCTGGCAACCAGCAGTTAAACTATACGTGGATTCTTATTTTACCTATGGAACATTAACTAAAAAGGTTTTCCTAGGGACTGCTTATCGAGCAGAATAAATCAAAACGTACATTTCCTGTTCAGGGAAAGTATGGAATGTGTTTTAAGTAAGCTATGTCTGTGTGCTTCTGGGGTGACCCCATGAAGGTGGGCTTACATCATGAGCAAGAAAGGTAAAGAAATGGTGCTAGTGAAGAACAACAAAGCTCCTGATGTGTGAAATGAGAAAGGCAAAACACAACTTTTCTATTCCCAGAGCTCCATCGGCAGTTACATCACCCTTGGTGCTGTCTTTAAATACTGAAGAGGAGGGTGTATTTGTCTGTTGGTGTCTAGATGGATAGAAAGGTTTAACAGGGAAAGAGGCCCCATTAATAGAGGACAAAAAATGGTTAAAAATTACTGGTTTAACTGCCACTCTTAAAAAAGAAATCTGGTTCTGTTTTCAGCTGCACCACAGATTCCCGGCATGTCACCAAATGGCACTGCATGTCTTTGGTTGCTGTCTGTAAATGGGAATATTACTAATGCTTCCTGATCTCAGGAAGCTGTGAAATAAGCCTGTTTGTGTTTGTGAAGTGCTTAAAGGTTATAGCCGTCAAAAAGCCGATAAATAGCCTGTACTCACTAAAAGTTTTTGTAATACCCTTTTTAAATTTGGTGGCTTCTCAGTTATACTTGCTTTTTTCAAGCTGACGAGAAAAATGCAGTTAAAGAGATAAGTTTAAAGAGCGATTATGTGGAAATGGATGTTACTTGTCTTTTTTTATACTTTGTTATATAAGAATTAACTCAGAATGCTACAAGATGCATCATTCAATTTAAATATCATGCTTGCGTATGGCCTGTAATACGATCTGATGCATTGCAAGCAGTGTCTTGACACTGTATATGTGATGAATACAACCCAGTGTATCAAGTACCAACTGTACTAAATCCACAGTAATGCTTCCTTTTTGTGAGTTCTTTATGCTCCAGTAGTTTCCATTTTTATGATAAGCATGAACCAAACCAGCTCAGAATATGTTCCACCAAGCACTTTTTCTTTTGCAAGAATCAGTCACCTAATATTTGTCAATTAAGACTTGTAAAATAAATAACACAGAATATTTTTATGATGTTGATATTAAGAAAACAATTCTCCAAATATAATTGGACCTGTTTCTCTTAGCACTGAATAGTTTTGATTTCTCTTTCCCTCTAAGTTCTCCTCCCTGCTACCAAACATGATTCTACTCAAATGGTGTTTCAGCTCCACTTAATGCACATTATAATGATCATGTCTTTAGCATTTTTCTTTTGAAGTTCTTTTTAATTACAAAATAATATCCTGTTTGAAGAACACAGCTTTGATATCTCCCTTTGCATTTAGTAATTATAAACTTGTTTTCATTATCCATATATTTTGCATGTTGTTAGTTTGTTGTGTTTTCCTATTTTTTTTGTTTGTTTGTTTTTGTTTTAAATACAGGAAACATAACTTGGGTTTTGATTGTGCATATGGGAAGTCCATTTCAAATCCCTGATGTCCACAGCCAGGATTCAGTAGTCCATGAGTCATCAGGATAAAAAGCCTGGGTCAAACATGTGAGAAACATACCAGTAGCTGGATGACAAAACTGTGGGAGAACTAGCAAGAAAACTAGGTAGAAAACTAGCAAGAGACTTATCCAAAGCTAAACCAAAAACTAACAAGAAAGACTTGATTTACATCTCTCTCTCAACAGCATCTGAAAATGGATTGGCAATCTCTAAGCTTCATATGTCCAAAACTGAGAGATTTAAGTTATTCACATTTGCTAGCATCTTTGGGACTTCTGAAAAAAGATGTTTCACAAATGAAAGCTTTTATGACATCCAACAACATGCAACAAAACCATACGTTTTTAGGCAATGCAAATTAACAGAACTGCCACACTTGTATTGAAATCTGCTGAATAATTTTACTGAGAAGTTATCTGCTGATATCTTCTGATAAATTTACTGCAGATAACAAGACACCAGCTCCTGCTCTGCTAGACCTCAGCATTACAGCCAGTAATGCTGGTGGTGCTCTGCAAGTTCTCCTTGATATACATTAGTACAAAACCAGAAGGGTTAAAAGAGTGAGGTCTTAGGGAGGTCTGGGCAAAACTTATTTGAGTTTGGATTTAGACCAGAATTTGACATTTGAATAACCCTAACATATACATGACAGAGTATAATGTATGTCCTTATTCTGAGCTGGTTTACATAACTGCCTCTGTAGACTATGGTCCAATGGCAGTGCCTTTCGGGAATTTCACTGTGGTCAGTAAGATCTTTGTTTTAGTAAAACTGCATAACAAAATACAGTTTTTACTGGCTGTAAAATATTAAGTGGAAAATACAGTGTAGGGAAATAAGACACACATATTGAAAAGGGGTGGCATTTTCTTAAATGAAACTTCCATATATCATAAGGCACTGGACGAGTTCGATCATTTCCCCTTTATGTATGCACACTCTCTGATGCAGAGGAGAAATGTTGAGTTTAATTAGTGCTGCAGACCCTTCAGGAATGTCTTGTACATAAGAAAAAGAATCTCTTATATATGTGAGCTAGAAAGATTTCATGCGTATATAGCTAGTCATATAGTTAAGTGTTTGCAAGATCACCCCAGAGATTGAAGCCACTCCGGGACAAGGACCTCATCTTCATACTGACGTCTAATGCACCCAGCACACTGTTAGTGCTATAATAAATAATAATAATATGCTAGCATTAAGTGAGCATCTCTCGCATGATCAATTTCCTGCTGTTGCAGGAGGGTGAATGTTGGTGGACTTTGATCCTTCTGAGATTTTATGTTTCTATCATAAGAGAATCATAGCACATAAGCACATTTTTTACTAATGCAGTAAGTAAGGTGGCAATATATATTGCACTGACATTAAATGAATATTAAAAGGGATTGGAACCATTTCCACATCATGAGGGGAAAAAACCTCAAAAGAATTAGTTATACAGTAGCTATTCAACAAAGATATCACTTTGAACCTTCTTCATAGATAAAAAAGTCAAATCCATTAGAAAGAAAATCTAGTATTAAAAGTATACACTAAAGCATCTTGAAATACAATTGTTGTTGCTGTTTCTAAGTCTGTTTTGCCTCCTGCCAAATCTCCCTCTTTGCCTCTTATACATAAACAACCCTGCTACCCCCCCATTGCTTCTCTGTTCTCCACTCTCATCTCATTGTAATATCTCAATAGTGTATTACAATACAAATCCTAAATGCTCAAGGACTTAGTCTGAAGAAAAAAGTGAAATACAGCACTTCTGTGTATAAATAATAAAGGCAGATAGCAAAACATCTTATTTGTTGCAGAGCATCAGTTTTGTGTACACTGCATACTTGTAAGTTAAGTTAGTTTCTTATTTTTGTAATATCTCCACACAGCTGAGTATTAAATTAGAGATTTCAAACTCGACTGAACAGTCCTCTTTTTACCCCTATTTTGTTGTATCTTGCCAATTCAATGTTTTATTATGTTTTCTGTCATAATATTGCTCTTGTCCTCAGAAAACATGTATTTATTCCCACTTGGAATATAGTGTAACTACTGTAAAGCACTGCTCAAAAGATGACTGCAAATTCTGTCTGAGAATAGAAAACTTGAACTCTTCTATTATCCAAATATTTTTCAAAGATTCCGCTTTTGTATGCATGTCTATTGCTGACACACATAATGAGATCATGGGAAAAGCCACACAGCTGACCTGAACTTTTGGGTATAGAAGTATAAAACTGTGAGATCTAATAAACCCAGTGCATGACCCCGTGCAGTTTTTGGACTTAAAGAACTAAATGCTATTGTGAGAGGAATGCAAGCCTACATATTTTTTCCTGTAGCTTGGCAGAGTTCAGATGTATTATATTTACAGTTGTCAATAAATGTAATGATATAGCATGAAGCATATAGACAACCCTGGTCTCCAGCCTCACCAGGAGAATATCCTGACACCTTCTTGTCACACGCAAGCAAGGCAGATATTATTTTTATGCACCAAACAGTAGGCAGGATGCAGCAACAGACTGACTCTGTGCTACCACAGTGTGTCTGAGAGGCTGTCAGCACATACTTTGCCTACTTGATGTAGCTCTTTCAAATAATTTAGAAACACTTTGGGCTTCGATTTTCCACCTAGCTCTTGATGTGCTTGGCTAGTAAACAGGGAGCCAAAATTTGGTGCAGCATTTGAAAAATAGCTCATATGCAGAAATGCTCCTCCAGAAGACAGAGTTACATATCTCAGCTGTTGAGCTCTGCATACAGGACTGGTTATTATATTTTAGGGAAAAATTAAGATCTCCTAAAGATTATGGAACTTACCTTAATTAACCCCCATGGATCCCATCAACACTGGAATGAGCATGCCTAAATGAAAGACATCTCTGTATATAAGCCGGAAGCTATGGAAATCAGAACTTAAGCATATAAGTATATAGGACTAACTCTGTCCTCTGAGACTCAGGGATTATTTTGGTATTTAGGATTTAAGTGAGCACTTCAGAAGAGAACTAAATTCTGAGGGAAATGCAGAAGCCTATTACTGTTTGAAAACTAGATTCTTTCAAGCATACGTAGACAGAAAAATCCTTTCTCCCCAGTAGTACAAGAGATGTTAACTTAGAAAGGATGCATTCTCATTAAAAGGATAGAATCAAGTATCAAAACTTATAAACGGCAACAATCTAAGGCATGACTATTCCAGTAAGACTAAAAGGGAATTTTTAATTATTTTAATATTTAAATATTTTTCTTTGCATTTGTTAATCTCTTAAAAAAAACCCAAATATTCCAT